TAGTCCACCTAACAACCTATTTCCTCAAATCTCATTTCTTCGATCAGGACATGCGTTTCCTTTTCGAGAACACCAGGTGTCGTCGAACGCCAATTTGAATATGTTTCACAGGATAATCGATTCTGGTTATTTTGGCTTTATCGTTTTATGTTCATCGTGCTCTCTGTAGGGACTTTCCAGTGATTTTTTACAGTGAACGTACAAGGTGCCAATATTAGCCTAATATTTATGCATACATAAAGCACAACACTGGTTTTGCCCCTTCCTGCACTAATGAATTACATGCTGTTTACATCAAAACATATTTTATTGAAAACTGTGGCTCGAATAGTTTACAATGAAAACTCCCAGCACAGCGAATGATGGCATTTTGCAAGGACATTACTCATTAGCTTCGTTAACAGCCAGTGTTCAAGCATTATACCTATTCAGCATACAATGCAGTCTTGTTTGTAATTACTTTATGGCATCAGCGAAATGTGTCTGAATTGCGTACGCAAGTTCACGCGATTTTAGACTCATCTACACACAGGTCCGATTCTACATAAATATACATACAGGTCCGATTCTACATAAATATACATACAGGTCCGATTCTACATAAATATACACACAGGTCCGATTCTACATAAATATACATACAAGACCGACTCTACGTAAATGTACATACAGGTCCGACTCTTCATAAATGTCCATACAGGTCCGACTCTACATAAATATACACACAGGTCCGATTGTACATAAATATACACACAGGTCCGATTCTACATAAATATACATACAGGTCCGACTCTACATAAATGTACATACAGGTCCGATTCTACATAAATATACACACAGATCCGATTCTACATAAATATACATACAAGTCCGACTCTACGTAAATGTACATACAAGTCCGACTCTACGTAAATGTACATACAGGTCCGACTCTTCATAAATGTACATACAGGTCCGACTCTACGTAAATGTACATACAAGTCCGACTCTTCATAAATGTACATACAAGTCCGATTCTACATAAATGTACATACAAGTCCGACTCTTCATACATGTACATACAAGTCCGACTCTACGTGAATGTACATACAAGTCCGACTCTTTATAAATGTACATACAAGTCCGACTCTACGTAAATGTACATACAAGTCCGACTCTTCATAAATGTACATACAAGTCCGACTCTACGTGAATGTACATACAAGTCCGACTCTACGTAAATGTACATACAAGTCCGACTCTACGTGAATGTACATACAAGTCCGACTCTACATAAATGTACATACAAGTCCGACTCTACGTAAATGTACATACAAGTCCGACTCTACGTAAATGTACATACAAGTCCGACTCTTCATAAATGTACATACAAGTCCGACTCTACATAAATGTACATACAATGTCAAGTCCGACTCTTCATAAATGTACATACAAGTCCGACTCTACGTAAATGTACATACAGGTCCGATTCTACATAAATATACATACAAGTCCGACTCTTCATAAATGTACATACAAGTCCGACTCTTCATAAATGTACATACAGGTCCGACTCTTCATAAATGTACATACAGGTCCGACTCTACATAAATGTACATACAGGTCCGATTCTACATAAATATACATACAGGTCCGATTCTACATAAATATACATACAGGTCCGACTCTACATAAATGTACATACAAGTCCGATTCTACATAAATATACATACAGGTCCGACTCTACATAAATGTACATACAAGTCCGACTCTACGTAAATGTACATACAAGTCCGACTCTACGTAAATGTACATACAGGTCCGACTCTACATAAATGTACATACAAGTCCGACTCCGTAAATGTACATACAAGTCCGACTCTACATAAATGTACATACAAGTCCGACTCTACATAAATGTACATACAAGTCCGACTCTACGTGAATGTACATACAAGTCCGACTCTACGTAAATGTACAAGTCCGACTCAAGTAAATGTACATACAGGTCCGACTCTACGTAAATGTACATACAGGTCCGACTCTACGTAAATGTACATACAAGTCCGACTCTTCATAAATGTACATACAAGTCCGACTCTACATAAATGTACATACAAGTCCGACTCTTCATAAATGTACATACAAGTCCGACTCTACGTAAATGTACATACAAGTCCGACTCTTCGTAAATGTACACTACAGGTCCGACTCTACGTAAATGTACATACAAGTCCGACTCTACGTAAATGTACATACAAGTCCGACTCTTCATAAATGTACATACAAGTCCGACTCTACGTAAATGTACATACAAGTCTACATAAATGTACATACAAGTCCGACTCTACGTAAATGTACATACAAGTCCGACTCTACGTAAATGTACATACAAGTCCGACTCTACGTAAACGTAAATGTATGTACATACAAGTCCGACTCTACGTAAATGTACATACAAGTCCGACTCTACATAAAAATACATACAGTCCGACTCTTCTAAATGTACATACAAGTCCGACTCTACATACAAGTCCGACTCTCTTTATAAATGTACATAAATGTACATACAAGTCCGACTCTACATAAATGTACATACAAGTCCGACTCTACATAAATGTACATACAAGTCCGACTCTCTCTACGTAAATGTACATACAAGTCCGACATAAATGTACATACAAGTCCGACTCTTCGTAAATGTACATACAAGTCCGACTCTACGTAAATGTACATACAAGTCCGACTCTACGTAAATGTACATACAAGTCCGACTCTACGTAAATGTACATACAGGTCCGACTCTACATAAATGTACATACAAGTCCGACTCTACGTAAACGTATACATGTACATACAAGTCCGACTCTACATAAATGTACATACAGGTCCGACTCTACGTAAATGTACATACAAGTCCGACTCTACGTAAATGTACATACAAGTCCGACTCTTCATAAATGTACATACAAGTCCGATTCTGCATAAATGTACATACAAGCCCGACTCTACGTGAATGTACATACAAGTCCGACTCTTCGTGAATGTACATACAAGTCCGACTCTACGTAAATGTACATACAAGTCCGACTCTTCATAAATGTACATACAAGTCCGACTCTACGTAAATGTACATACAAGTCTGAGTCTACGTAAATGTACATACAGGTCCGACTCTACGTAAATGTACATACAGGTCCGACCCTACTTAAATGTACATACAGATCGACTCTACGTAAATGTACATTCAGGTCCGATTCTACATAAATGTACACACAGGTCCGATTCTACATCAATGTACATACAGGTTCGATTCTACATAAATATACATACAGGTCCGACTCTTCATAAATGTACATACAGGTCCGATTCTAAATAAATGTACATACAGGGCCGATTCTACATAAATATACATACAGGGCCGACTCTACATAAATGTACATACAGGTCCGATTCTACATAAATGTACATACAGGTCCGATTCTACATGAATGTACATACAGGTCCGACTCTACATAAATATTCATGCAGGTCCGATTCTACATGAATGTACATACAGGGCCGATTCTACCTAAATGTACATACAGGTCCGATTCTACATAAATATACATACAGGTCCGATTCTGCATGAATGTACATTCAGGTCCGATTCTACATGAATATACATGCAGGTTCAAATCTACATGAATATACATACAGGTCCGATTCTGCATGAATATACATACAGGTCCGATTCCACCTAAATCTGTACACAGATCCGACTCTAGATATATATAGTTACAGGTCCGACTCTACATAAATGTTCATAGTGCTTATGTTTCGCGAGCTATCTCAACAGACTGTGTTTATGTATTCTACAAAAATACAATTTGGATATTGATACATCATCAGAATCTGTTTTTGTGATCTTAATGTCTACATCGTGAAACTAATTCCATCCATATCAAAGGCATTTCGTAACTTAATTGCGCAATGCCACCTGAGTTGAGGCAGGTGTAGCGGAACAAATGATCTAGTTACCCTCTCTGAGAACCTCAATATTACATCCAATCTTTTCAAATGCCAAGCAACGGTTACGTTCTACGAAAATAGGCCAACTTTATTTGAAAAGAATGTCATTCGATGAGGACAAAGAAAAAGCAACTAACCTTTCAAAGGTCGCATATATAGTTAGTAACCCAATCATCGTCTTACACGAATTCTATGCATGAAGATTCCAGGTGACAAAATACTGTCTACAGAACAGTATAAAAAGAGGGGTGATTTCAACTCTTCAAATAGTCAACCTTTCCTAATGTGATTTGGAGACATTTTCTAATGACTCAAGTCTTTGGAACGCTTGAGAACGGTTGAGGTCCAATCGAGCATGCCCTCTTCGCATACAGTCACGTGGAGAGTTTTATGTCAAAAAAGTAACATACGCACATACATTGATTATAAGAAAACATTACAACATTGATTCTTCCTTATCCATGCTCAAAGTGATTCAGTTCACATAGTGTTCCTTCCATGCAGAACATGAGTTTGATAAAATACTAAGGTTTAATCATTAAATTGACAAAACACATTTGATGTCAAACGTTTAATAAGCTGATATTGATCACATCATGCCGTGGTTAGTGTTGTTCACGGACGTTTCAACATGTGATATATTTGGGATAACACTTTCTTATTGAGGTACTTATTCTATAAAGATACTAAAATCTGTACTTCTCTGAGAAAGCGTATTCGCAATTACATGTATAACATATGTTTCATTTGACAGTTTTTAAATGGCATTGTGTATTCAAAAAGGTTTAATATAAATTTGGGCTTTCATGCCTCTAAAAGGTTCCTTCATCTGTGTTCTCAACAATCCGTACTCACTAACAAAAGCCAATTGTGTGAGCCTATGTCGATATGGATATATTTATACAGTAATCATTGACTGATATGTCTATAACGCCCACCTGCACGCATGCCAATCAATACTGAAATTCATTTAGTATCAACAGATGTGCTTTTCTATTTCCAGATGTCCGAGTATGGCAGATTCACAGGGAATCAAGCACGGGACAGGAAGCACCAAGCTTTGGCTGACACAAACTGCAGTTTGATTCAAGGCTTATATGCAAGGCAAAGGGAGATGGATCCATGAAACGATGGGGTCATCAACAATCTCTGGAGTTTTGTAACGGACATCTATCATTGTCGGACTGATAGCTGACAGGCAGCAACTGATGACTCTAGCCCGTAATAGACATGTTCTCTGCTGGTTTCAGTGTGTTTTAACTGACAGCACGGATGGTTCATTTAAGGGTCATCACACGAAGACAGAACCTGATATGCGTCCTAAGGACACTGAGTGACTATATGTCCTAATGGACATGGGAAATTGGAAGTCGATCGATTTTCAAAATTAATAGCAGTGTAGATGTTGTGTAGTACGAGTGATTAAGAAGAACCATCTCAGTCTCATGTCGCCCTCCTGGATAAAACATGATAGTCACACACGCAAAGATACCTTCATGCTTGCTAAGACGATAACTTGTTCCATGTTGATGGTGTGTGGTTGAACATCAAGTGGGATTATTTGTGGAGGTGTAAAGGAATGCGAAAACTGTCCCTTTGATGTGGCACACATTGGGTACGTGGTAGACGAATGTTTCCGAAGTGATACAGAAGCAAGACGAAAATATCATTAATTACTGACGTGCTGGGACTTGCAACAGCAATCTGTCATACATGGCTACATGTGCAATGGTGACATTCGATTGGACTCATTGGAATAAATTCTCTGTTCCATATTTGTAAAGATCTCGGAGACAGCAGCATGATGGCCGCCGGGAATAAGAGTTCTGGGGACCGGATAGCCCTTCTCCCGGCGGATCTATATGCCTATTTCGACATGTCGGATCTCGACCAGTCGGGGAACTATTCTCTCGAAGACTTTATGAAGGTTGCTACGGAATATAAGGAATCTGATCGCTGGTTCGATGGGCTGACTGAACTCTGTCTCACATTGAGCTTCTCCTTGCTGATGCTTATAGGTATCTCCGGTAACATTACTGTTGGGCTGGTCATCCTGCGGAGGAGGTCGTCACAGTCGACTCGCAACTGGTACATTTTTAATCTAGCTGTGTCGGACATTTTAACGTGTATATTTTGTAAACCCTTTCTCATCCTGAGAATGATCCTAAAGAATTGGGATATCGGCGTATTTATGTGCAAACTAGTGCCTACTTTACAAACAACATACGTACTCGTATCAACACTCACGATCTTAGCCCTGGCAGTGGATCGGTACAAGGCAATTCTGTACACGTCAGGAAAGGATCGGAATGTCAAGATAACGCGATATATTATTCCAACTATATGGGCGGTGTCATTGTTCGTGGCACTCCCGATATTCTTGACGCATGAAGTGGAACATGTGATTGGATTTAATGGCGTTCCCTTATACTCTATCTGCCGTGAGAAATGGAATTCCTATGTCCTACTGACAATATACACTATATTCGTTCTGCTAATCCAGTACCTATCACCGATGGTTTCTATAATAACCCTTCATGTTAAAATATGTCAGTTCCTCGGAGTAAGGATCCACACACGGGGTGCCCAAATGAGAGATATGCACAACATACGCCGGAAATTGTCACGACACCGTAAGAATATTCTTCTTTTGACGAGCATGGCGGTATCGTTCGTAGTATCCTGGCTTCCACTGACTTTAGTGAACATTATAGCTGATATTGACTACCGTACATTCGAGCATACGGACTTCCCGTTGATCCACGCCGTGTGTGTGCTTGTTGCCTTTACATCAGTGTGTGTCAATCCTGTCATCTATGGCTGGTTCAATTCAAACTTTAAGCGGGATCTCCGGAGATTATGTAATCTCAACCCGTCCTATAAGTGCTCAAAGTATGTGCTCATCTTTCGGAGATCGAGCAGAAACCCGGACATAAGTCTCTTAATATCTACCCTACCACGTGACGTCACTGCTTCGCCACGTGCAGAGGAGGCACACGACACAGCTTTATGACATATGGGGCTACCCCTTGCGCGGATTAACGTTCGTGGTACGGGGATGTGTGAGATTAGACTTAATCTATGTCGGAATAGGGTACGACGACCACGACGGCGGAAGATCAGTGTTATTCGAAGTTAGCAAGATGGGTTAGTCAGTCCATAAGAATGGATCTGCCTAAAACATTTAGAAAATGGAAAATGTACATCTTACAGCTGTTTATGCTTCCTTAACCTGGTGTTTTCTTCGCTTTACGGTTACGTTAAGCGCATATATTTGTAGCAAACGTTTATGTCGATATTTGTACTTTGGGATTTTAGAACGGTTCGTGGAATATTGACAAACACTGACTTCTATGTAACATGGCGCCATACTTATCAGTCTTTGCAGTTTATATGGTTTCTATTTTCAAGTGTCCTTTTACAAACCTTCCTTACCTGAACTGTCATATCAACTACGAAATGGGCTGATGTTGCTGAATGTTGTTTGAACAGCAAACACTTTTTACGACTCCATTTCTTCTCAGTGATTAAATCTGTCAGAGTGGGTGGGCACAGTCTGATCGACTTGTAATGGATTCGAAATTCATATTCCCCCGTTGTGGTAATTTCGTGAGTCGTGGGTAGAATACATTTTATTTGGGTTTCCCAAATGCGTGAATCGTTTCCACCTGCAACACGTCCACGTTAAGGTGGAACGTCTTGATATAACTGAAATATTGTTCATTATGGTATGCAACCACTCACAGACTCATTCTGTAAAGTAGTTCATCGTTTTGCTTTGTAATATATGCTGAGCCATAGACAATGCTCTAGGAGTAAGCCGTCCTCCATGTCAATACAATGCGTTTAAATATACCAGAAAACTCCATGATGGGAAACTCCATGATCCTTCAAATGAATTATCACAGCGTTACCCTGATCCCAATTTTAATGCTGATTACTGTTTACACAACTGTAATGTACATCTCATATAACATTTCCCTTAAATATATGTTACAAAGGCCATATGATTCTTGTTTCAAGTACGATGACGTCAACGCAAGTTACGGTTACTGTTGGTAGTTTTCTTCATGAACAGCGGTGTCGCCTGGTGCACGTGGTAATGTGTTAAGTAGTCTTGTCCAACACTTCAGCTTTAATCCCACATAGGTGTTTGTCATGCCTGTTTTATGCTATGCGATTGGTTTGTTGGAATAACTCAAAAGTGACATAAGTATTACTTAGATGAGTTTCAGTATGCTTCCACATATTTACATTTTCTAAAGGCAATTCTGTCATCATTTGGAGTTGTGCATTTCCACTACTATTACCACTACTGCTGCTGTAGTGTGTGTGCGTACGCAAGTGTGTGTGCGTGCGTGTGTGTGTATGTGTGTGTGCGTGTGTGCGTGCGTTAATGTGTAAAGAGGTAATGTACTATATGTACGACAGTCAATACAGCATATGTTTCATGTTTATCATGTGTTCACCTAATTTGTTGAACAGTGAATATAAATGGAAGATGTTATGTATGTCATTTTAGACAAAAAGGTGTTTTTAAATTACTAGTAACTGGACATCATCGTTTTCGATTTATAACAACACTCAGGTCATTGATATATCTCCATTTCGCATCTGTGATTATTGGTTATAGCACTGTGTAAAATGTAAATATGTTCATTGATATTAAGATATGTGGCTGTTGATTTGGTTTCACATAATTTATCAAATTCTCTGTCCATCTTGCAGCACTGTCATTCCGAATCATATATAGTACTGTACACCTCACTACCACTCTTTCAGACATGTATGTGATAAAATCACTGTTAGGCAAATGTGGCGTATGTGGTGCATGTGGGTCAAATGAATCTTGCCATCATTCCATTCATTAGATGTTGTGTGACATGTCAACCATTTGGACACGTTGTGCACTCGTGGTTTTCATGATAACCCCACACTTCATGTACAGGGGCATACTCTGGCAGCTTCAGGTTTTATCTTTTTGATATTTCATCATCTTTCGATTGTCCTTGACTCTTGTTTCATTCCCCATGACATGCTAACTGTACATAGTCAACCCTGTTAATTTTCTACGAAATCAACATTTGAATGTTTGTTTCTAAGCGAGTCTAACAGGGTTCACTGTTTACTTTGAAAGACTAATGAAAACATGATATTGATGAACATTTTGCCATGGGTTTTATCAAGAATATAGGGGCATTTCAAACTTGCCGATGAAGAATTAAAGATCTGAAATAGTATTGTAGCTAAACTGGAAAAGTGAAGATGTTTTGATGTCCTGATTGAAGACATTAACAATCTTTGGAACTGTCACATGCCGCAATTAGTGGTATGTTTGAGAAGAGTTCCATTTTAGAAACGACCCCCTCTAAAGTGGAATTCTATTGGTTTGAAAAGGCGACGAATTCCACTGTTAAAGTTATACTATGTTAAAATCTGAACCACTTTCATTTTCAAACATTGTGATTGTATGGTTAAATGTTTGGTACATGTTTGCTGAATATGTATTATTGCCCTTCTAACCCATATTCAAAGACTGCCTTACGATCTTGACTTGATGTGTGTATTCGTCTTCTAATCCATAATTAAAATGTGTTAGTGAACATATTTACTATCATGCTATTTGATCACCGAATTACAAGGAATAAAATGGTGATACTCAAGTGTGTTTTAATTTTGCATGTCTACTGGATTTAATCTAAGGCCATCCACGAATAGCGTTTACGCTGAAATAAATTAACTGTGTTTAGGTCATATGTCATATTAAATTTAGGAGGTGAGGTGAAATTGGGTTTATCGTCGTGCTTGAGAATATTTCGCTCATATGACGACGTTGAAATTTAGGAGCATTGTAGATGAACGTTTATTAAACATCTTCGAAAAACCTTGTCAACCTGTATGTTTTACAAATGGATGCATTTTCATTTTGTGAATGGATGCACGTAAACGAGCATACGCTTTTGTCGAAAACCATAGCAATAAACAAGGTGTAATCTTGCGTTTGTTAAATATCAACGTAATAAGTAAAAATTGCAGGAATAGTTTGTTTTGTGAACTGTTAGAAATATATTATGGAAACGCTAGCTCACAGAAAAGTTGTATTTATTTTAGTGAAACACTTGTGTTAGTGTGGAAACGACAAATGTTTGTTATTCATATTGTACAAGGGCCGATAGCCTACAAAATCAAAATACAATTAAAACATTGATTGAATAATTAATATTGATTGACTGAATGTCAACTACAAACTCGATGTGTTACGAACAGATTCCATTGGGCATAAAAGCCAAAACATTGATGTGAATCGATCATCGGAAATCAGTAATGAGAGTAGGTGCTTGAAGACAAATAAATGTTATGTAACGTGTCCGTAATACGAGGAGGATATTGTTTAAGAATATGGAAGACATATGACACAAACGAATTACTAAAAACACAAGCTAATGTATATAACTATTCGTTTGTACATGTCTTCCGAGGAGTCTACAAGTATACCATTTAACTTTTGAACTTTCTCCATTTTCATTAGATTATGCCCAGTCAGATTTCGTCCTTTTCCGACACTTGAAGAATGGAACTGCCTGGTAAGCATTCTGCAGCCGATTTCATTCGGCTGTTGATGAACAATTGCATCACGAGGGTCGAGTGACTTGATATTTAGCGTCACATCGGCAATATTTCAGCCATATCGTGACGAGAACAAGTTACTTTATATCAATATTAAAATCAATAAAGTTAGAACGTTAAATTACTGTCATCGAAGGACAGTAAAACTACTAGAGTATCACAGCTCTTAATTCAAAAGTAGTATGCTATTATAAAAAGAATATCACTATAGACAACAGTAGTACAACAGGATACAGGCTATAGATCACCAGCAACTGAAGGCTGATCCCCATACTAGGGATCACGGGGAATTACAGTACTTTGGCTACCTGCATGGACCCTAGTTTGATTTATATCAACCCTTCAGCAGCTAGCGATTGTGGTCAAATTTAGCCAAAACTAATTAAATTCCGTTGGATGTTTCGGGACTTATGTACCCTCTTAGAAGGACAATAATTTTACAATACTTTAACCCCCTTCAGGATACAGCCACTAACAACCTCAGTTACTAATCTAAAATACCAATCATTAAAATACATATATCTACAGAACATATTACTCAGAATTTATCAATCAAATCAATTTCTTTTAAAAAACAATAATTAAATGAAAATTAACAGTTGTAAATGGATCCTTAACAGTTTTTATTATTCCTTGTGATGGAAAAATCAACACGTTATTCTTTCATCATAAGGATACAAAACGGAAGATCCTCACCTTTTAATAGGTATTCGTGAGAATATCTTGTATGGCCAATGTGACATCGTCGCATAATGACCTCTTCAAATCTGGACTGACAACCAAAGAAGGTGTAACCGATATACATCACGAGGAGAGAGTTTTCTAAATCGCGTCCAACATCGCTGACAGGCGTGTGTGTAACTCATAGAATATTATATTACATTAAAACACACAACCACATGCATAAAAAAGTCTATCACAGTCAGTCACAGAAATGACACATCCGTCAAAGACAGGTCTTCCACTTTATTTTTTCAGGTAAAAATTTAAATCGTTTCCTCTCGATTTGGAATGAAGCTAATATTCTCATGCCGCAATGAATTGCCTTTCAATGGTACTGGCACATGGACTATAGCATCGCAGTAAAATAATTTTAACCATGCTTTCATCTTACTACAGGTTTTCAAATACCACTGAAAGATACATATGAAATGATTAATCTTGCTTGATGAGTCAAAGAATGTCTTTGATGATAATGGTTTCCAATCAAGCTTAAAAGGTATGTTGGGCATACACAGGGTCTGTTGGTCATGCTCTCAACCTTGTGTCTGTTGAACTCTGTACGGCTATCTGAACATCAGACGCCTTTACAGCTATAACTGAGAGCCAGCTTCGACTGGAAATAGGCCAATGTCTACATCAACACAAAGTGACCAATACCCTAGAGACTAATGACTTCGGCGACGTTCTTTGACGTTCTTACACTTGTACCGTTTGCAATTGGTTTTAATCTTTTGTCGCCAAGGTTTGTTAAATGTGACGACGCTTCTAAGACTACGCCCCACCTCTGCTACAGGCAGCCACTATCTAGACACACTATTCAACTCGAACTGAACTCTGCTGCAGGCCGATATCGTCCAAATGCACATGAGCTTTTTCGACTTTTTGTCAGAACAAATGACACGAACATCTGTCGAGGTAATTTCTATCACATTATTTGTAAATTGTATAGTCAGGAAATGTCATTATCCATTTTAGAGGACCGCGTTAGGGGGATTTAACCTGCTGCCAATATTATCTTCAGACTATCAAGGCCATTGGTCTGCCTTATGATTGACAAGTTCAGACTTGCCGTGCTCCATATGTTGAAGTGAGTCGACACTATATATATAGAGTTGCATGCCATTCAGCTATGTAATTTTAATCCAAGCACTGCACTTCATTCTTTGCTGGACACCTGTTGTGAATGGGTTTCCAGGCGTTATATCTTCATGTACGATTTGTTTTCTATCTCCAATTCAATTTTTATTTTAAAAGTCCTTGTGTTTGGTTGTTTTTGTATTTATATTTAATTCAGTACAGTAGATAAATTAGTGTAAAGATGTCCTGCTGGCACAGTGGCCTACCCTGCCGTAAAGAACTCCTGTTGCCTTTGTTGTTCCAGGCCCATGACCCGTCCCCGTTTCGTCACTACCATCCTCCCGTCCCTGGCTTTGCCAAACGGGTAAGGTCCTGCTGCCTTGATCACCGTTAAACTGACATGTTGTGATCTAACTGACATACAAATCTTGCTGACCCTTAACTGCAACAGTTGTTTACATACAGGGACATCTGCTCGATAGTATGATATCAGCGAAGGATGGCTCCTGCTGTTAGCAAATACCAGAAATGTGAAGCACCAGCTGCTGGACACAATATAGGTTAAGTATGTATATACTGCTCCGTTCTCGTCCATGGTTTCAGTTCAAGGTCCAGCTCTTTAAACCAACCTTTGGCTTTTCTACTCATCAATCAGTCTTCAGTCTTAGTCAGTAATGTCCAAAACGTGTCTGAAGATATGTGCTTATACGTTTTGGTTTATATGCACCAATATGCGTGCACAGATGTTGTTTTTTATTCGTTAGAGTCCCTCGGGCACGCAACAACCTAC